ACGCCGGCTGGCGGTAATATTTTTTGGGTGATTAGTGCATTCCAGTGACAGAAACGTACAGTTTCCAGCCAACGGCAAGCTGCAATTGACCGATTGTGTACAATAAACTGACTTTCTGCTTCACAACCACTATTGTACGTTCAAAGAGTTAGATCCATTTACACGCCGGGTGGCGGTAATATTTTTTGGGTGATTAGTGCATTCCAGTGACATAAACGTACAGTTTCCAGCCAACGGCAAGCTGCAATTGACCGATTCTGCTAAATAAACTGACTTTCTGCTTCACAACCACTATTGTACGTTCAAAGAGTTAGATCCATTTACACGCCGGGTGGCAGTAATATTTTTTTGGGTGATTAGTGCATTCCAGTGACATAAACGTACAGTTTCCAGCCAACGGCAAGCTGCAATTGACCGATTGTGCTAAATAAACTGACTTTCTGCTTCACAACCACTATTGTACGTTCAAAGAGTTAAATCCATACACGCCGGGTGGCGGTAATATTTTTTTGTGTGATTAGTGCATTCCAGTGACATAAACGTACAGTTTCCAGCCAACGGCAAGCTGCAATTGACCGATTGTGCTAAATAAACTGACTTTCTGCTTCACAACCACTATTGTACGTTCAAAGAGTTAGATCCATTTACACACCGGCTGGCGGTAATATTTTTTGGGTGATTAGTGCATTCCAGTGACAGAAACGTACAGTTTCCAGCCAACGGCAAGCTGCAATTGACCGATTGTGCTAAATAAACTGACTTTCTGCTTCACAACCACTATTGTACGTTCAAAGAGTTAAATCCATTTACACGCCGGCTGGCGGTAATATTTTTTGGGGTGATTAGTGCATTCCAGTGACATAAACGTACAGTTTTCCAGCCAACGGCAAGCTGCAATTGACCGATTGTGCTAAATAAACTGACTTTCTGCTTCACAACCACTATTGTACGTTCAAAGAGTTAAATCCATATACACGCCGGGTGGCGGTAATATTTTTTGGGTGATTAGTGCATTCCAGTGACATAAACGTACAGTTTCCAGCCAACGGCAAGCTGCAATTGACCGATTGTGCTAAATAAACTGACTTTCTGCTTCACAACCACTATTGTACATTCAAAGAGTTAGATCCATTTACACGCCGGCTGGCGGTAATATTTTTTGGGTGATTAGTGCATTCCAGTGACATAAACGTACAGTTTCCAGCCAACGGCAAGCTGCAATTGACCGATTGTGTACAATAAACTGACTTTCTGCTTCACAACCACTATTGTACGTTCAAAGAGTTTAGATCCATTTACACGCCGGGTGGCGGTAATATTTTTTGGGTGATTAGTGCATTCCAGTGACATAAACGTACAGTTTCCAGCCAACGGCAAGCTGCAATTGACCGATTGTGCTAAATAACTGACTTTCTGCTTCACAACCACTATTGTACGTTCAAAGAGTTAAATCCGGTTTTATTTTTGGGGTGCTTATTGAATTAAAGAGTATGTCAGACAACACGCAGAGGAGTGGCAGAGGAGGCAATGTTTCAGGAGCGAGCAGACGTGGCAGCAGAGGAAGGGGTCGAGGCAGCACTAGTCGCAGCCAGAGGCCAGTGCTCCCGGTGTCATCCAGCGGTCGTGTCTCCACCGACAACCCTGCCGTCATCGATTGGTTGACTCGGTCGTCTTCCTCTTCCCAGGTCACCTCTGACACCTACAGCCAACGGTCGGTGGGTACGTCAGACACAACCGTTAGTTGGCATGGCCCGGGAGCAAGCCCACTGAAATCACGTGTCCTCGACCTGCCCCTGTCCTTTGGTGTTCCCTCACCAAGCGAAGTATCGCATGCTGTGGGCTCAGCCCCACTGTACAGTGAGGAAGAGCTAACAGAGGGCGGTCAGGAACGGGGGGAGACATCCGCCTCTTCAGCAGCCAGGCGAAGAAGTACTGGCGAGGAGAGTGGCTCGGTAGCCGGTCTAGAGACAGGTCTGTCTCCTGACCCACACGCAGCCGAGGGGGCTAGTAGTGACGCGGAGACCCTAAATTGATGATGATGAGGCTGATCGCACTTGGCAGCCTCGTCGTCATCAGGCTATTGCTTCCGCATCATCAGGAGAAGAGGGTGCCAGCTTGCCAGCGAGCAAAACAGTCGGTGGGTTGCCCAGGAGGCAGCAGGGTCGCAGCAGTGTCAGTGGAGCCAAACGGCCACGGAGTAGAGCACCAGCTCCACTGCAGCCTACCACCACGGCCAGTAGTGGTGCCGGTGTGCACGGAGGAAGTAGCAGTCAGCCAGTGAGGAGTAGCGGGCAAAGTTTCCTACTCGGCGGTGTGGCAATTTTTCGTCAAGCCGCCCGAGGAAGTAAACGTAGCCGTATGTCGACTATGTGGCCAGAAAGTCAAGCGTGGCCAGGGGCCCAATGTTGGGACTACAGCGTTGCGTCAGCATATGCAGCGTCGCCATTCGGTGGCCTGGGAAAACCGTGATAAAGATACGGCGGTTCTGCCTGCCCCAGCCCCCGCTCCATCACCCGCTCCGTTACTTGCTCCGTCACCCGACGTCAATCGCCCTCTATCAGCCAGTCAAGGCTCCCAACACCTCTGCTGAGGGGAGTTGTCGCTCGTTGGCATCTTCCGCTCGTTCAGATGCTCCTTCTCCTGCTACTCCTCTTCACGGATTCCGTCAGCAGTCTTTCTTGGAATCCGTTTCCAAGAGACAACAGTTTGCGAGCACGCACCCGACGGTGCAGAAGCTGAACGTCCTCCTGTCCAAGTTGCTGGTGCTGCAGTCCCTCCCTTTCCAAGTGGTGGACTCAGCACCTTTCCGAGAAATGATGGCTTGTGCCGAGCCGCGGTGGAGAGTGCCAAGCCGGCATTTCTTCGCCAAAAAGGCAGTGCCAGCCCTGCATTCACATGTAGAAGAGATGGTGGGCCAGTCTTTGAGCATGTCGGTCTCTGCCAAAGTGCACGGCAGCGCCGACGTGTGGAGCTGTAACTACGGTCAGGGACAGTACATGTCATTTACGGCCCACTGGGTGAACGTGGTGCCGGCACAGCCGCACCAGCAACTTGGACAGGTCACGCCGCTTTTGCCTCCACGTTTGCACGTCCTTGGTCCAGCAAAGATGTCCGCCTCTACCACCTCTTCTTCCGCCGTGTCCTCAGCCGCCACCCCCCCGTGCCAAGTCCCATTACCCGACCGGCATATCACATGTGCAGGGCGCAACGGTGTCACGCTGTGCTGCACCTGGTATGCCTTGGCGAACGTAGTCACACAGGGGAGGAACTTCTTGAGTGTAATGAACAGAGAAATCGACAGATGGCTGTCTCCGCGCAAACTGAAAATCGGAACCATGTTGACCGACAACGGAAAGAACATGGTGTCTGCTCTGCGTCAAGGAAGGTTGTGCCATGCGCCATGCATGGCTCACGTGTTCAATCTGGTTGTCAAGCGGTTCCTAAAATCCACCATCCCACTGCAAGACATCCTTAAAATGTCACGTAAACTTTGCATGCATTTCAGCCATTCCTACACCGCAAAGCACACCCTCCTTGAGCTGCAGCGGCAGAACGGAATTCCACAGCATCGCCTGATCTGCGACGTTGCAACAAGGTGGAATTCAACCCTACATATGTTAGACCGCCTTTACGAACAGCGAAAGGCCATCACCGATTTCCTGATGTTACAAGCGGATAAAGGTACTCCCCTGTGTAACTTAGATGTCAGCCATTGGCAGCTCATGCGTGACACCTGCCGCTTGCTCAGGCCCTTTGAGGAGGCCACGCTATTCGTGAGTCGGCAGGACTATGGGATGAAACGACGTCATTCCTCTGTTGCACGTCCTGGAACAAATGCTGTTAACAATGGCTGGTCAGGGTGCGGTAGACGTGGCGCACAGATCTCAACGCCACATGACCCCTGTGGGGGCAGGACAGGAAGAAGAGGAGGAGGTAGAGGAGGACATTGGTGCTCAGGAATTATTGAGTGAAATGGGTGGTTTTTTCCACTCAGCGGACAGGAGTGGAGGAGCAGGAGCATCTGGTAGAGGAGGAGGAGGAGACAGAGGACCCAGACGCACCGTGGCAGTATGCTGTGGAGATGGAGGCAGGGAGTCCCTCGCATTCCTTGGCACAAATGGCCCATAGCATGCTCGGTTGCTTGCGTAGCGACAGCCGAATAATAACCATCAGACAGAGGGATGACTTTTGGCTGTCCACCTTGTTGGACCCTCGCTACCGTTCAAAAATGGTGGCCTTTTTCACACCTGCTGAGAGAGGGAGGCCAAAATAACGTACTATAAAAACCACCTATGTAGTCAGTTGGTCTCTGCCTTTCTGCGCCAACGTCCATCCTCAGACACTGTGGGCCCTGTGCGCTCTCGCGTTCCGCTGCCATGGCAGCAGGGGAGGGGTGGGGTGGTAGGAGCAGTGGCAGCTCCACCAGCAGCGGCTGCCTCAGTCTGCAGTCGATGATGAGTAGCTTTCTTCACCAGCGCAGTGAGGAAAACTACTAACCAGCCGCAGCAGCAGCAGCAGCATCAGGTGGACCTGGAGCAGGACCTCAAACAACAGGCTTGGGCCTACTTGGACAGCACCCTGCCAACCGAGGTAGACAATCCCCTTGACTACTGGGCAACGAAACTTGACCCTTTGGCCCCAACTAGCTGAATTTGCCCTTGAAAGGCTGTCATGCCCGGCCAGTAGCGTGGCATCGGAGCGCGTGTTTAGTGCGGCAGGAGGTATTGTAACTCCGCGGAGGACACGACTGTCCACCCAAAGTGTGGAGAGACTCACGTTTGTGAAAATGAATCAGGCGTGGATTAGTCTGGATTTCAAACCACCAGTTCCTGACACAACTGACTAAATCCGCCATGAATCATGCCCCAAACATGTGCCACTTTCAGGTCTCCTCACACTGCTGGTGTGTTCCTTTTTTTGTCATAGGGTGCTGGCAGATTACGGGCCTCCCATAGCTGCTGCCAGGCCCCTAATCTGCCATGGGCCCCTGTACCGCCTCCTCTTGCTGCTCTCTCCAGAGTGCTCATGGGTCCCTGTACGGCCCCCAGGTGCTGCTGTCCCTCGCCACACTCTGCCATGTGCCACTTTCAGGTCTCCTCCTCACACTGCTGGTGTGTTCCATTTTTTGTCATAGGTGGCTGCTGGCAGATTACGGGCCTCCCATAGCTGCTGCCAGCCCCTAATCTGCCATGGGCCCCTGTACCGCCTCCTCATTGCTGCTGCCAGGTCCACAGTGTCTCATGCCATGTGCCACTTTCAGGTCTCCTCACACTGCTGGTGTGTTCCATTTTTTGTCATAGGGTGCTGGCAGATTATTACGGGGCCTCCCATTGCTGCTGCCAGGCCCCTAATCTGCCATGGGCCCCTGTACCCGCCTCCTCATGCTGCTGCCAGGTCCAGAGTCTCTCATGGGTCCCTGTACGGCCTCCCATTGCTGCTGTCTCCATCGCCACACTCTGCCATGTGCCACTTTCAGGTCTCCTCACACTGCTGGTGTGTTCCATTTTTTGTCATAGGGTGCTGGCAGATTACGGGCCTCCCATAGCTGCTGCCAGGCCCCTAATCTGCCATGGGCCCCCTGTACCGCCTCCTCATGCTGCTGCCAGGTCCAGAGTTGTCTCATGGGTCCCTGTACGGCCTCCCATTGCTGCTGTCTCCATCGCCACACTCTGCCATGTGCCACTTTCAGGTCTCCTCACACTGCTGGTGTGTTCCATTTTTTGTCATAGGGTGCTGGCAGATTACGGGCCTCCCATAGCTGCTCCAGGCCCCTAATCTGCCATGGGCCCCTGTACCGCCTCATGGCCTCATGCTGCTGCCAGGTCCACATGCTGTCTCTGCCATGTGCCACTTTCAGGTCTCCTCACACTGCTGGTGTGTTCCATTTTTTGTCATAGGGTGCTGGCAGATTACGGGCCTCCCATAGCTGCTGCCAGGCCCCTAATCTGCCATGGGCCCCTGTACCGCCTCCTCATGCTGCTGCCAGGTCCCACACTCATGCCATGTGCCACTTTCAGGTCTCCTCACACTGCTGGTGTGTTCCATTTTTTGTCATAGGGTGCTGGCAGATTACGGGCCTCCCATAGCTGCTGCCAGGCCCCTAATCTGCCATGGGCCCCTGTACCCGCCTCCTCATGCTGCTGCCAGGTCCAGAGTCTCTCATGGGTCCCTGTACGGCCTCCCATTGCTGCTGTCTCCATCGCCACACTCTGCCATGTGCCACTTTCAGGTCTCCTCACACTGCTGGTGTGTTCCATTTTTTTGTCATAGGGTGCTGGCAGATTACGGGCCTCCCATAGCTGCTGCCAGGCCCCTAATCTGCCATGGGCCCCTGTACCCCCGCCTCTCATGCTGCTGCCAGGTCCAGAGTCTCTCACTGGGTCCCTGTACGGCCTCCCATTTGCTGTGTCTCCATCGCCACACTCTGCCATGTGCCACTTTCAGGTCTCCTCACACTGCTGGTGTGTTCCATTTTTTGTCATAGGGTGCTGGCAGATTACGGGCCTCCCATGCTGCTGCTGCCAGGCCCCTAATCTGCCATGGGCCCCTGTACCGCCTCCTCATGCTGCTGCCAGGTCCCAGAGTCTCTCATGGGGTCCCTGTACGGCCTCCCATTGCTGCTGTCTCCATCGCCACACTCTGCCATGTGCCACTTTTTCAGGTCTCCTCACACTGCTGGTGTGTTCCATTTTTTGTCATAGGGTGCTGGCAGATTACGGGCCTCCCATAGCTGCTGCCAGGCCCCTAATCTGCCATGGGCCCCTATACCGCCTCCTCATGCTGCTGCGCCAGGTCCAGAGTCTCTCATGGGTCCCTGTACGGCCTCCCATTGCTGCTGTCTCCATCGCCACACTCTGCCATGTGCCACTTTCAGGTCTCCTCACACTGCTGCTGGTGTGTTCCATTTTTTGTCATAGGGTGCTGGCAGATTACGGGCCTCCCATAGCTGCTGCCAGGCCCCTAATCTGCCATGGGCCCCTGTACCGCCTCCTCATGCTGCTGCCAGTCCAGAGTGTCTCATGGGTCCCTGAACGGCCTCCCATTGCTGCTGTCTCCATCGCCACACTCTGCCATGTGCCACTTTCAGGTCTCCTCACACTGCTGGTGTGTTCCATTTTTTTGTCATAGGGTGCTGGCAGATTACGGGCCTCCCATAGCTGCTGCCAGGCCCCTAATCTGCCATGGGCCCCTGTACCGCCTCCTCATGCTGCTGCCAGGTCCAGAGTCTCTCATGGGTCCCACGGCCTCCCATTGCTGCTGTCTCCATCGCCACACTCTGCCATGTGCCACTTTCAGGTCTCCTCACACTGCTGGTGTGTTTCCATTTTTTGTCATAGGGTGCTGGCAGATTACGGGCCTCCCATTGCTGCTGCCAGGCCCGTAATCTGCCATGGGCCCCCTAGTACCCGCCTCCTCATGCTGCTGCCAGGTCCAGAGTCTCTCATGGGTCCCTGTACGGCCTCCCATTGCTGCTGTCTCCATCGCCACACTCTGCCATGTGCCACTTTCAGGTCTCCTCACACACTGCTGGTGTGTTCCATTTTTTGTCATAGGGTGCTGGCAGATTACGGGCCTCCCATAGCTGCTGCCAGGCCCCTAATCTGCCATGGGCTGCTGCCAGGTCCCCTGTACCGCCTCCTCATGCTGCTGCCAGGTCCACAGTGTCTCATGCCATGTGCCACTTTCAGGTCTCCTCACACTGCTGGTGTGTTCCATTTTTTGTCATAGGGTGCTGGCAGATTACGGGCCTCCCATTGCTGCTGCCAGGCCCCTAATCTGCCATGGGCCCCTGTACCGCCTCCTCATGCTGCTGCCAGGTCCAGAGTCTCTCATGGGTCCCTGTACGGCCTCCCATTGCTGCTGTCTCCATCGCCACACTCTGCCATGTGCCACTTTCAGGTCTCCTCACACTGCTGGTGTGTTCCATTTTTTGTCATAGGGTGCTGGCAGATTACGGGCCTCCCATTGCTGCTGCCAGGCCCCGTAATCTGCCATGGGCCCCTGTACCGCCTCCTCATGCTGCTGCCAGGTCCAGAGTGTGTCATGGGTCCCTGTACGGCCTCCCATTGCTGCTGCCAGGAGGCAGCAGGGTCGCCAGTGTCAGTGGAGGCAAACGGCCACGGAGTAGAGCACCAGCTCCACTGCAGCCTACCACCACTGCCAGTAGTGGTGCCAGGTGTGCACGGAGGAAGTAGCAGTCAGCCAGTGAGGAGTAGCGGCCTCCCAGTTTGCTACTGCCGGCCGTAATGTGTGCAATTTTTTCGTCAAGCCGCCCGAGGATGTAAACGTAGCCGTATGTCGACTATGTGGCCAGAAAGTCAAGCGTGGCCATGGGGGGCCCATGTTGGACTACAGCGTTGCGTCATTGCTGCATATGCAGCGTCGCCATTCGGTGGCCTGGGAAAACCGTGATAAAGATACGCCTCGGTTGCCTGCCTGCCCCAGCCCAGGGTTCCATTTTTGTCATAGGGTGCTGGCAGATTTACGGGCCTCCCATTGCTGCTGCCAGGCCTTAATCTGCCATGGGCCCCTGTACCGCCTCCTCATGCTGCTGGCCAGGTCCACAGTGTCTCATGGGTCCCTGTACGGCCTCCCATTGCTGCTGTCTCCATCGCCACACTCTGCCATGTGCCACTTTCAGGTCTCCTCACACTGCTGGTGTGTTCCATTTTTTGTCATAGGGTGCTGGCAGATTACGGGCCTCCCATTGCTGCTGCCAGGCCCGTAAATCTGCCATGGGCCCAGTAAACGTACCGCCTCCTCATGCTACTGCCCAGGTCCACATTCTCTCATGGGTCCCTGTACGGCCTCCCCATTGCTGCTGTCTCCATCGCCAAAACTCTGCCATGTGCCACTTTCAGGTCTCCTCACACTGCTGAGTGTGTTCCATTTTTTGTCATAGGGTGCTGGCAGATTACGGGCCTCCCATAGCTGCTGCCAGGCCCCTAATCTGCCATGGGCCCCAGTAACTGCCTCCTCATGCTGCTGCCAGGTCCAGAGTCAGTTCTCATGGGTCCCTGTACGCCTAATCCCATTGCTGCTGTCTCCATCGCCACAACTGCCATGTGCCACTTTCAGGTCTCCTCCTCACACTGCTGGTGTGTTCCATTTTTTGTCATAGGGTGCTGGCAGATTACAGGCCTCCCATAGCTGCTGCCAGGCCCCTAATCTGCCATGGGCCCCTGTACCGCCTCCTCATGCTGCTGCCAGGTCCAGAGTCTCTCATGGGTCCCTGTACGGCCTCCCATTGCTGCTGTCTCCATTGCCACACTCTGCCATGTGCCACTTTCAGGTCTCCTCACACACTGCTGGTGTGTTCCATTTTTTGTCATAGGGTGCTGGCAGATTACGGGCCCCCATAGCTGCTGCCAGGCCCCTAATCTGCCATGGGCCCCTGTACCGCCTCCTCATGCTGCTGCCAGGTCCACACCTCATGCCATGTGCCACTTCAGGTCTTCCTCACACTGCTGGTGTGTTCCATTTTTTGTCATAGGGTGCTGGCAGATTACGGGCCTCCCATTGCTGCTGCCAGGCCCGTAATCTGCCATGGGCCCCCGTACCGACTCCTCATGCTGCTGCCAGGCCCGTAATCTGTCATGGGCCCCTGTTGTCGCTTGTTGGCATATTCCGCTCGTTCAGATGCTCCTTCTCCTGCTACTCCTCTTCACGGATTCCGTCAGCAGTCTCTTGGAATCCGTTTCCAAGAGACAACAGTTTGCGAGCACGCACCCGACGGGGTGCAGAAACTGAGCGTCCTCCTGTCCAAGTTGCTGCTGCCAGGCTCGTAATCTGTCATGCGCCCCTGTACCGCCTCCTCATGCTGCTGCCAGGTCCAGAGTGTGCCATGGGCCCCCGTACCGACTCCTCATGCTGACTGCCAGCTTCCCGTAATCTGTCATGGGCCCCCTGTACCGCCTCCTCATGCTGCTGCCAGGTCCAGAGTGTGTCAATGGGTCCCTGTACGGCCTCCCATTGCTGCTGCCAGGCCCGTAATCTGCCATGGGCCCCGTACCTACTCCTCATGTCTGCTGCCAGGCCCGTAATCTGTCATGGGCCCCTGTACCGCCACCTCATGCTGCCATGCCAGGTCCATGGGTGTGTCATGGGTCCCCTGTACGGCCACCCAGTTGCTCACACAGCTGACTCCATCGCCACACTCATGCCATGTTAACCACTTTCAGGTCTCCTCACACTGCCTGGTGGTTTTCCATTTTTGTTCTAGGGTGCTGTTGGCCCTCCCATTGCCTGCTTCATCTCACCGCCACCCTGGCGCCAGTTCTCTGTCGTTCTGTGGCACGCTGCTGACGGGCAAATTCCGGAAGTGGCGTTCTAAACCTATGAACGCCTAGGGTGTATGGCTTCCGATACTGCTGCCTCCACCAGCCACACGCGCCATTGTGCCTCTGTCCGTCAGGCTCACGCTGCATGACGGGCTTCCCCGCTTTTTAATTAACGAGGCCTGTGTTTCTGTCTTCCGAATCTGCTGCATTCCACCACCACCCCGCGCCATGGTGTCCCTTCGTTCTATGCTCACGCAGCGCTTTGACGCTGAGTCGACCTCTTTTTAATCGAAGGCCTGTGTTTGGGCTTCCGAATACGGCTCGCAACCACCGCCGAACCCCTGCGCCATTGTCTGTGTCGACTCGCTCACAGCTGCTGAACATGGCTTTCCATAGTGTGTAACCTAGGCCGGCTGTATGGCTTCCGATTACTGCTGCATTCCACCGCCACCTCTAGCGCCATGTGCCACTTTCCAGGTCTCCTCGACAACTGGTTGGTGTAGGTTCCATTTTTGTCCACATAGGGTGCTGTATGGCCTTCCATGCTGCTGCATCCAGCGCCACCCTGCGCCATGGTGTCCTGTTGTCGTCTGCTCACGCTGCTGACGGCTTCCCAGCTTTTTAACCTAGGCCTGTGTATGGCTTCCGAATGCTGCTGCCCTCCACCGCCACCCTGCGCCATGTGCCACTTTCAGTCTCTCCTTACACTGTTAGGTGGGTTCCATTTTTGACTGATAGGGTGCTGTTTGGCCTTCCATTGCTGCTGCCTCCACCGCCACCCTGCGCCATGTGCTCTGTCGTCTGCTGCTCACTGCTGCTGACGGCTTCCACTTTTTAAACACCGAGGCCTGTGTTTGGCTTCCGAATACTGCTGCATCCACCGCCACCCTGCGCCATGTCTCTGCTCGTCTGCTCACGCTGCTGACGGCTTCCACTTTTTAACCTAGGCCTGTGTATGGCTTCCGAATACTGCTCCCTCCACCGCCACCATTGCGCCAGGTGCCTCTTTCAAGGTCTCCTTACAAAACTGTTTGGTGGGTTCCATTTCCATGTGATAGGGTCTGGTAATGGCCCTATCTGCTGCCATTGCCTCGCCACCGCCACCACTTCGCCATGTGCGTCTGTCGTGCTGCTCACGCTGCTGAAACAGTCTTCCGCTTTTTTAACCGAGGCCTGTGTTTGGCTTCCGAATACTGCTGCATCCACCGCCACCCTGCGCCATGTGTCTCTCGGGTCCCGTCTGCTCACGCTTTCTGACGGCTTCCGCTTTTTTAACCTAGGCCTGTGTATGGCTTCCGAATACTGCTGCCTCCACCGCCACCCTGCGCCAAGTGCCACTTTCAGTGTCTCCTTACACTGTTGGGTGACGGTTCCATTTTGTGATAGGGTGCTGTTTGGCATGGCCTTGCGAATGCTGCCTAGCCTCCACCGCCACCCTGCGCCATGTGCCTCTGTCGTCGCTCACGCTGCTGACGGCTTCCACTTTTTAACCGAGGTGTGTTTTGGCTTCCGAATACTGCTGCATCCACCGCCACCCTTGCGACCATGTGTCTCTGTCGTCTGCTCACACAGCTGCTGACGGCCTTCCACGGTTTTTAACCTAGGCCTGTTATAGGGCTTCCGAATACTGCGACCATCCACCGCCAACCTTTGCGCCATGTGCCACTGTCAGGTCTGCCTTACACTGTCTTGGTGGGCTTCCATTTTTGTACCTAGGTGCTGAGGAAGGCCCTTCCATTGCTGCTGCCCAACTCCACCGCAACACCCACTGCGCCATGTGCCTCTGTCGTCTGCTCACGGACCCGCTGCTGACGGACTTCCGCTTTTTTAACCGAGGCCTGTGTTTGGCTTGCCGAATACTGCTGCATCCACCGCCACCCTGCGCCATTGTCTCTGGTCCGTCTGCTCACGCTGCTGACGGCTTCCGCTTTTTAACCTAGGCCTGTGTATGGCTTCCGAATACTGCTGCCTCCACCGCCTACCCTGCGCCATGTGCCACTGTTCCAGGTCCTCCTACACACTGTTGTGTGGCTTCCATTTTGTGATAGGTGCTGTATGGCCCTTCCATTGCTGCTGCCGAGCCACCGCCACCCTGCGCCATGTGCCTCTGTCGTCTCCTCACACTGTTGGTGGCTTCCACTTTGTAAACCGAGGCCTGCTGTGATGGCCTTCCGAATTGCTGCTGCACTCCACCGCCACCCTGCGCCATGTGTCTCTGTCGTCTGCTCACGCTGCTGACGGCTTCCGCTTTTTAACCTAGCCTGTGTATGGCTTTCCGAATACTGCTGCTCCCTCCACCGCCACGCCCCTGCGCCATGTGCCACTTTCAGGTCTCCTTACACTGTTTGTGGGTTCCATTTGTGATAGGGTGCTGTATGGCCTTCCATTGCTGCTCCATCCACCGCCACCCTGCGCCATGTGCCTCTCGTCGTCTGCTCACGCTGCTGTACATCGGCTTGCCGCTTTTTAACGAGGCCTGTGTTTGGCTTCCGAATACTGCTGCATCCACCGCCCCCTGCGCCATGTGTCTCTGTCGTCTGCTCACGCTCTGACAGGCTTCCGCTTTTTTAACCTAGGCTCTGTGTATGGCTTCCGAATACTGCTGCTGCCTCCACCGCTACCCTGCGCCATGTGCCACTTTCAGGTCTCCTTACACTGGCTTGGTGGTTCCATTTTGTGATAGGTGCTGTATGCCTTCCATTGCTGCTGCTCCACCGCCACCCTGAGCCATGTGCCTCTGTCGTCTGCGCTCACTGGCGATGCTGACGGCTTCCCACTTTTTTAACCGAGGCCTGTGTTTGGCTTCCGAATACTGCTGCATCCACCGCCACCCATGCGCCATGTGTCTCTGTGCTGCTCACCTGCTGACAACTGGCTTCTCCGCTTTTTAACCTAGGCCTGTGTATGGCTTCCGAATACTGCTGCCTCCACCGCCACCCTGCGCCATGTGCCTCTGTCGTCTGCTCACGGCTGCTGACGGCTTCCGCTTTTTTAAACTAGTCCTGTGTATGTCTTCTCCATTCCGAATACTGCTGCCTCCACCGCCACCCTGCGCCATGTGCCACTTTCAGGTCTCCTGAACACTGTTGGTGGGGCTTTCCATTTTGTGATAGGGTGCTGTATGGCCTTCCATTGCGCTGCCTCCACCGCACACCCTGCGCCATGTGCCTCTGTCGTCTGCTCACGCTGCTGACGGCTTCCGCTTTTTAACCGAGGCCTGTGTTGGCTTCCGAATACTGCTGCAATCCACCGCCACCCTGCCCATGTGTCCTCTCTGTCGTCTGCTCACGCTGCTGACCCTGCTTCCGCTTTTTAACCTAGGCCTGTGTATGGCTTCCAATACTGCTGCCATCCACCGACCACCCTGCGCCAATGTGCCTCTGTCGTCTGCTCAC